AAAAGGAGAAGAGCGAACATAGAGAAAGACGGGATAAAGATTGGAAAAGCACTTCGCTAAAGAATGTAGTCTTGAGATAAAGATTGACGGGAATGAAAAGCTCCGAATTAAAGGTCTCGAAAATAAGAAAATACTTCTTAAGAATTGTAAGTCCCGGAACAAACAGAGTGCCACAGTTTAGAAGGAAAAACTCATTTCTCATCAAACTTTAATTTTCAAATATTTTCAAGTCAAGTGATTTATTTAGAAAAAAAACTCAAAGTTCATAAGATGTTACATAAGCTTTAATCACTTACGTTCCACTTTTGATGATTAAGGATGGAAGTCAAACCTGAAAACTTTGCTTTTCCCTCCATCCATTTTGAGAGTAACAGAAGCAGACGCCGATCTCGTAGAATATACGAATGTTCGATTGCTTCTTTACCCTAAAAAGAAAATACGATACGACTGATAAGGAGTTGTAAAATGAAACAAAACTACCTTGGCTTTCAACCAATCATTGACAAGTTCCTCATACTCGAAGGAAAATGGATATTTCACGGACATTTTTCTCCAATACTGAACTCGTCTATTATGCGGTCGTTTATCATATTTTAGCTAAAAAACGAATCCAAAATCTCAAGTACTGCCGGCTTGAAGCTGTTATACCTCATGTTCAACCTGCATACGTCTGATATCTTCACTTCCCGCTTTAGTGTCCATGACATCGGTCGGATAACAAAAGCGAGAAGCTTCCAAATGAGCCTCAAGCTCGTCACGCCAACCAGAAGCACGGGCGGTGCGCAATTGTAACGCTACCCAGAAATCCATACCTAAAAAGGAAAGTGGTACTTAAATAAATAGCCCAATTTTAATAAAACAGAATATTTATACATGCCGAATCCACATGGTGCGATAAGTTCACAACCAGACAGCGTGTCTCCACGTCCAGATCCTCCATTTCGGAACACAACAAGGACAGGTATCTGCAGTTATTGGCATTACGAGGAGAACAACCTACACTATCCTTGCGAGAACTGGTCCCCATGTGATTTATCGAACGTGATAAAGGGTGAAACTTGAGAATACGTTGATAAGTTTAGAAAGCTATAGAAAAAACTACCTTAGCTTCCGTTTCCTTAATCTGACCAAGACATTTTCCTTTCAATTTGTTCAGTTCAGCGTCCGTCATTCTGAAATGATTACTTTTGAAAAAAAAAGTGATAGCCAAGCTAGATAAAACCTCTGCAAAAGATCAAGTCATTATGCATGTGATGCAACCCAAACCTCAAAATCCAAACAAAATACATAAAATTACCTAAACTTGTACCCCAAATTCTAAAACACCTTATGCTCTTCTGTGAGATTCTGATATTTAGTGTAAAGTGTGCAATTACACCACTGAGAAATACTGAAGTCTATCCAAATGCACCTGTCAGCCAATGCTTTCAGTCGCATGTTTTTGTCCCAAAAAGTTGCACGGGGAAGAACTCGAGTCTCTGTTGGCAGTGTATCATGCTCAGGATTGGGAACCTGATAAAATCACATCAGGTAGCCATAAAAACTGGACCAATTTTAATATAGAGTGGAAGTACCTCCTTCACACTTGGTCGCGATATTCTAGGATCTTCCACCAGAAGTGAAAAAATTGAACCATCAACAACATTCCCCGGTGGTAATCGTGAGACTGATTCACGCCATTCAGCATGATTCTCGCTGAAATACATGACTAAGCACTGTCACGAAAGCATCTTGACTTCTGCAGTTCACCTGAATTGTTGGGCTTTTTCATCATCAACCAATCTTAGGGCATCGGAAACGATGGCAAGTGCTAAAGGACCATAAAGACGGAATCTAACAAGTTGATCCCGCAAATCTTGCACCTAATTGGAGGATAAGACATCTCACTAAAGGAGGAGTATGAAGAAAACTTCTACCTGGATTCCATTTTTCCCAATCCAGCGCTCCGTGTGAACGCGCATTTTGCTCAAACGCCATTCTTCCACAGTTTTAGGAACTGAGTCGACCTTTAAGATAGCTTACAACGAGAGGAATACTTGAGAATACTGTGCGTTTTACCAGTTCTCCTTCGCCGTTTGTATGCTCTTCTCCGGTAAGCTCTAAAAGTTCCTTAATAACAAGCAAAAGCTCATCACGACAGGAAGGATGGACCCACAATGCCAAATGGAACAATTTACTGAAAATGTATTGTCGTGACATTTGCTATGTGTAAAGCTTATTCAATAACCCACTCCTCTCTGCTCCACTGGAAACGAGCTGGTCCAATATATCCTTTAGGGTAATGCCCTGGGTGGTAAAAATGGGTCGACACCTTATAAATATATATACAGCAAAAAAATTTTTAAACTTTGTTTACTATATACTGTCGAACCTTTCTAGGCCACGAATTAGAAAAACCAGGTTAAATCATTTTTCACTTACAAATAAATCTTGTACTTCTTTTTGTCATGATAAAATGATGGCAAAAAAATAAAGGTGGCGCGGTGGCAATAAGGACTATCGGCATTAGCCTAAAGATTACTACAAAAGATCTACTAGTCTGATGAAGCTATGCATATTTGAGACCAAAATCAATAAACACTTGATAAATCAGATCTGATACATAGTCATGGTAAGTGTACAATAATTGCATTGAAGCCACTTACAAATTTACGCTGTA